TGAGGACAGGGGAGGAAGAGACACTAAAAATAGATGGAGAGAAATCTATATACACACAGAGGAACAAATCAAACAGCCAACCAGGCTTTAAAAGTACAGTAAAAAGTGTAAGTGCTTCTTAATACCTAACTAAAGTAGTACTGTTGCTAGGTCACTAAAACCACAAATACCATGATGTTAGTAGGGAAAAGGTGAGGAGGGGGAGTCTTCCTAACACATTCAGGTGAAAAAGCAGAAGTGGAGCTTGTAAAAAAAAAGTTAGGAAATGCAGTTCAAGTCTGATGACTTCCTGAAACATTTAGGGCCAAGCAATCACAGCTGTTTCTGGGAATAAAATTTGACTCTCAGTTGTTAGAATAGACAGAATACTGATTGATAAGAAAATCGCAACCAAATCAAAATAACACAGTTCATGGAGAAAAATGGTCTTCTATTTACTTTTAGGAATTAAAACATTTCAGTTTCTAAGTGTTTTATGATCTTCGAAAGAGAACACACGTTGCCTTCAGAAAGAGGATTAGATTTTAATATAAAAATCATCTTTTTCTTACCTAAACACCAATGTTTTAGGATTTCATATTTCTCCTTTAGCAGCTACACACTATAGACCCTGAAACAGTAAGGGAATACAGCTCCTTGCCTTATTTAATTCTTGTCATCTGTTGCAAGTGAAACCATCTCTTGGACTGTGTTTCACAAAAGCAGCTACGAAGCAAAACCTCATATTCTTAGCACTGTATCAAGCCAAGAAAAAAAAACCAACAACAAAGCAAAAAGCTCTACCCCAGTGCTCTTACTTAAAGCACTTACCTGATAAAGCTCCTCTAAATTGTACTTAATTGAAGTACTGTTCTGGATAGCTTCTACTGCTTCTTTCAGTTTTTGCCAGGTTTCATCTGTGTAGTTTTCAGGCAATTTGGGTTTATCTTTAAAATAAATGATAGAGAGTTTGAAAATTCTTTAGAAAAAGCAGATGCATTGAAAAAATTCAGCACTGTTCTTCACATACACATCATGGCATCTGTAGCCCAAACAGGACGCGTGATTAATAAAAATCACAATACTGTGTCGGAGCAACTCAAGAAGGGATAAAGGCTAAAACCCAGCAAGAATGATCTACACTTTCATTACGCTTTTTCTCGACAAAAACACAACAGCTAAAAAAAGTTGAAAATGATGTGGGTTAATAGATACAGTTGTGTATAGTTGCCTTTTTTCTTTTTTTTCAATTTACTGCTCATTAGCTCTACTCTGTACTAACAGTTGGAAAGAAACCCTTGAGAAACACACATGGAAATACTGTAATTATAATACAGGCTTTAGGGTGGGAAGAAAAATCTTCCTACCTACAAGTAATCCAGTTACATCTCTCTTGCCTTTGGTCAGCAAATTTTTGTTAAGAGTTAAGCTCTCTTTTAATGTTCAAATAGCTCAAGCTTCACAGATTTGAATCTTTCTATTATTTTTCTCAGGCTCTCAGAGGCATCTCTAAAGATGCCCCTGCTATGCAGCAGCATCAACAGGACTAAAACATTTACAACAAGCTAAGAAAGATTCTCCAAGTCACAGCCACAGCATACAAAGACTATTTTAAAATTCTCTGCGTTCTCGTAACTAGCTAAAATGACTATTTTTAATTCTAATAAGCATGCTCCCAAACAGAGGAGAAAATTTAGGGAGGAAGGCACATTCATATCCATGCCACCAACAGGTAAAAGTGGCCCAGAGTTTATACTCTACTGAAATTGATTTTTATATACCTGAAGGTAAAAAACAAATTGTGAAGCTTTACGATTTCTCTAGAAGTAACAGAGAGAGAAGTTTGTTGGGTTTATTTTTATCCCGCCAAGCATTTCCCTACAGTATTGGCAACATCCCAGCATTAACTGTATTGTAAGAATCTGGAGAAACTAACTACAAGTAAGACTTGCCTGTTTTTACTAGCAGCTAATGACTATGCTACTCAGCAGTAAATACCATGATTCTGCATTTTAGGAAGTTATTTAAGTTGCAAAGGATGTTGCTGCTATCACTAAGATAAAGGCAACAACCATAAAATGAGTATTCAGTTTAGCATTAGAGAGTAAATAAAAAGCAAAGCTGGTAAATTCCTGAGACAACCTTTTTAAGCAAGTGATTCAAATACCAATTCATAAGTGATGATGATCACAGCACCATGCAATCCATAACATTTAACAAATACTTTAAACATGAAAAGTTGACTTCCCTTATAGATAACAGTGTACAAGCAAGAGAAGAATGGACTCTATTTCTCACTATCATGCATCATAACTATAAAATTTAAATTAATAAAATTAAATGATAATGACATAATGGGCAGACAACATTTCTGAGGACCTTAGGGCAAAAAGTTACACTGTGATCATGAATTGCTGTAAGACACAGTGGGTAAAAGAATCCTAATCCTTAACTTGTGTGATGTCTCTACCAAAAATTTCTATCAAATGTGTATTTAGAAATCATTTTTAATGCCAGTAACATCTTTCACCTGACCCCCTTGTCTCACACCCTCCGCCAACCCCAATGGGGAAAAAAAACCCTCAACCCAGGAAAGCAAGCTACCAAACTATTTTATAAGATAACAAGAGGCAGGAAGTAAGCCTATGATTTCCTCATCTTTATGGGGAAAAAAACCGACAGAAGTTTAGCCAAGCTTTCTGCCTATTTGCTAGAAAATGAAGCAGCATCACCACAGAAAAGTTTAACTTCTCTGCTTCAGCTGGTCTCTAGTAACAATATTTGAAAGTCTCAAACATCTTTTGAGAGAATTTATAAAATAATGTAAACTTGTAAAGTGAGAGTACGTTAAGACAGAAAAGACAAGAAAGAGTTAAATAATAAAAATCACAGCGAGGATATTGCAAGGAAAACACTCCGCAAAAATCTGAACTACCTACTTTAACGGCAAGTGGGGAAACCAGAAAGGAAACCCGCCATAATAGCCTGATAATCACCTTAGTTTCACCATTTAAAGCTAAGCACAGGCAGATTAACCTATAAACAGACAGCATGGATAGATGCAAGGCATCTATAGATTCAGGCCCAGTTTCAAAACAAAGCCCCCACAGTCTGTGCAAAGATTTATCATACACTGAGCTAAAATACACATATATATACATATACTAAACCCTGAATTAGGATTACTAGAAAAGAAGAATCAAACATTATAAGTCTGAATAAAAGTAATTTACACACTTAATGTAGTAAAAGCTTTCGTCTAACAAACAAGTTAAGGCCTCCTCAAGAGACAGAGTGAAAGGAGTCTGAAAAATAATCCCAAACAGCAAAGTGCAGCTCAGGATGTATACATGACTGGGCAAGTATGTATCATAAGACATTATTCGCCCTTTACATAAGCATAGAAACATTCACCACAGAAAAGCATTTCCTGTAAAACCTGGAGCTATTTGAAAGCCAACCGGTTCTCACGTCAAAAACAAAACACGAAGGTGAGCATCAGCTCCCCATAGGTTGTGACAAATGGCCTGTTACCTTTAAAGTTCTTGATCACTAATTTCTTAGCGGAGCCAGGTTTACTGTTGGCGAAACTGGAAACAGTAGAGGAGGCAGCTTTGGTCAGGCCATTTGCATGGTGCCCCACAGCCACTGATGAAATTAAAAGGCTTTTATTTTTGAGCTGTTGTTGGTGCTGCTGTTGAGTAGAGGCAGCAGGAGAGGAGGATGAAGAGGACTCTTCAGCCATCTTCACATCGAGTCCAACAAAATCCACGGAGTCCTCAAAGCGCAGCTTCTTCTGGAGGTGATGGTTAGAAGAAGCAACTCCTGAGGAGGAGCACGAGGAGGTGGAGATGATGGAAGAAGATGATGAGGAGGTGTTCTTGGAAGGAGAGGAGGCGCAGGAAGAAATGGAATCAAATTCCTCTCTTTCAGAATTGCTGTTGCTGCTGTTATTTAACTTTCTCTTCTTGCAGGAGGAGCTGCTGCTGGTATTACCATCAGTGGCAGGTCTGACCTCCTGGGCTGCAGCTGGGGGGTTGGGGGAAGAGAAACCTGTGGGAAACATGAACACACAGAAGTGAACAGGCTGAGGGGCATCAAATCCTTGTGATGTGACAAAGAGAGAGAGAGAGTTTGAGTCAGTCTCTGCTCGGTGTCTCTCGAGGGGATCTTTCAACTCCTCTCTCTCATCAGTATAGTCCTTCCGTCTTCCCTCTCCGTCGCTTTGTTCTTTCTCGAAGGAATCAGTTTATCTTCTCTCTTCCCCTTTTCTTTATTACTTGTTTCTTCACGTAGTTGGTCTCTGCTTTCTTGCTTTTACTCCCTTCTCGGCGGAGCGTCTCCTGTTCCTGCCTCTCGCCACCCACTAGTTCAATTCTTCTCTCCAATACCGGTATCTCCCCGCGGCTGCCCGCTCCCCCGGCTTTTCCTTTCGCTCCCCTCCTGCTCCGGCCGCCTCGTCTCCTCCGAGCAGCAGCGGGGAAGGCTGAGCGCGGCTCCCTCACGCCTCGGCTCCAGCCCCTCGCCCCACACACCTCCCGCTGCCCCGCCGCCGCCCGGCCCGCTCTTCCCCCGCGGCCCGCTCTCCTGGGGCTCCCGCCTTCCCCCCTCGCTGCCGCCTGCTCGCGCTGCTTGAGGGGGGACGGCCCGGCCCGGGGCTTGTTATTGTCAATACACGGCAGAGAGGGAGCCTAAAGATGGCGGCATATCCGGTCGCCGTGCATGCCGGGGCGCGGCCGTCCGGAAGCGCGGCCGGGCAGCCCGGGTAAGGCGGCGGATCCCACCTCCGGCGCACGGCCCCGCTGCTGCCGCCACCCCCCGCTGCTTCCCGCTGCCCTCTGGCCTACCGGAAGTGATCATAGTTGCCGGCCGCTCCTAACGGCCGCACTCGTTACCGCGTCCCGCAGGAAGGGGACGTGGCTGCCGCGCTTCGTGTGGCGTGAAGGCGGAGGGGGCGGGGCCCTGCGGGCGGCCGCGGGGCGCGGGGCTTGGCCCTCGTCGCGGTCCGTATCGGGAGCTTGGGGTCCTGTCCCCTCCCTTCCCATCCGTCAGCGCGGCGGGTCGCGGCTGCCGCTCCTCTGCCGGTGACCGCTGCTGTGTGCTGCGGCTGAGGTAAATGCGGGGCCCAACCGGGTCTGTCAGAGCTGAGGCCGGGATCGGAATGATGGCGGCGGCGGTCTGCGAGCTGGTCCTGGGAATGATTTTCCTTACACTGCTATGTAACCGATCATTTAGCATCGACTTTTTAACATGATTTTAATATATATGTGGACTTGCACTGCGCTAAGGACTGGGGTGGTGGTTTCTACTATTTACTTACTTATTTTTAAACGTCTGGAAGCAAAAATAGAAACCATGGACCTTTAGTGGCTCTTCCTTGATGCTGCTGTATCCGTTACCAAAGGAAATGTGAGCTTTCTGAGAGTGTTGGTATGATTCAATGGCTATTGAGAAATAACTGCAGAAAAAGTAACAAAACAAGTGTTGAGGTTTTGTTCCAGAAGGGATTCTCCAGGGACTTTGGCCAAGAGCGTCCCCCTGCCCTCTGACTGTAGAGGTGCTCTGGAGAGGCTGCTGTGTCTGTGTTCGGTGGAAAACGATAGCGGACTTGTCCTGACAAACGGTGGTTCATGGAGGTGTGACAGTAATTCTGCAGAGGTTTTTCTGTCTGAGTAGCTGTCAGGCAGCTCCTGAGGCCTGAAACACAGTGCTGGTGATAGGTAGAGAAGCACATCTTTAAGAAGAAACCAGAGCCAACCGGACCTTCAGTCTGGTTGTGACTGGCTTTTGGACAGGATGCTTTGTTCAGAAGTTACAAAAAGTAAGTTACTTTCCAAATCAGATGTAATAAAAAGAAACAGGTTTGCTAAGGAAATCTGATACAATTATGCTGTCAAGTTTTCCTCTATTACCAGTAACTGTCGTGTTCACTCAAGCCAAGTAATGTAAGAGGTGTAGGGATGTAAAAGATCTTAAGTGTCTACAGTTTCTTGCTTGGCGAAAACAATTGGACTATGAAAGAGGAGACATGAGGAGGTGGAGAAGCAGGAGCGTTATCCTTTCATGCTGTCCTTCAGGTGGGGAGGTGTTGGCAGCTGTGTCCCATCAGTCAGACTGCAGCCCTGGGTCAGTCGTGCTCTGGGATACATGGAGAGGGGGTGAGTCAAGGTGGAGCACTGGGGGATCCAAGTGCAATGGATTTTGCCCTTTTCCCACTGAAACATGAGGAGAGAGAGTTTAATCCTTTCTGTTTTGCATATGATCCTAAGGGGTGGTTTCTGTTGGGGCTGTAAAACCATTTGCTGGGTGTGATACCAAATTAAATTAGTATTTCACTGAATATAGAGATTTAGGGCTACAAGGATTCTTAAACTAGTATTTCACTGTGTATAGAAGCTACAAGGATTCTCAAGATAAGGAGAGTATGCAACAAGAGAACCAGATATCTTCTCTCAAAACAATGTAGGCTTCCTCCTGTTGATAAGGCCTGAGAAATAGGTTGCAAAAGGAAACAACTCAGGGAGCCTCTCAAGGTCGTAAATTAGCCCAAGCAAGAACATGTAGCTAAGTTAACTCAGTCCTGGAGGAGCCAGTGGTCCAAGTGCTTTAAGGTAGCAGAACAGAGAAAAGAGCTTCCTGAAAATTAGGAAGTAATGTTGCTGTTTTATGCTGTGGTTCAGGTGTTTTTTCTTCAGTGAGCTGTGCCGTATTCATTAGGAGTCCCTAAGGGTAAAAGCTTACCTTGTAACACTCAAGATGGGAATGTGATGAATACTTCACTACAGTTTTAAAAATGGGAGCACACCTGCAAGGATTCTTTACTTGGCAAACTATTATTTCATAGAAGTTATTCTGAGAAGCACAAAACCAGTGTGGAGTGGTTTGTCAGTGTGACAAACTCCTGATCCCGCTTTCTAATCTGGGCATGAGCAATGACGCCATGTTCCAGTTAAAACTGAATTCCTGATTATAGCTCAGTATTTTTAGTGATGCTACAAAATAGGTGGAGGTGGCATCCACGAGTTAAATGCCAGTTAAGTGTGTTCCTGACTGTATATTTCACTATTTGAATAAATGATACCACATACGAAGGCTTGGTTTTACTTTATTTGACCAACGTAACTCTTTAAATACTAGGTTTTAATTATTTGTTATAGTATCAAAGCTTATTGTTTTTTATAGAAAAAAGAACTTGGTGCTTAGCATAAATGCTGAGGTCTTTTACATCCTCTCCCTTCTCTTCATGCTAGAGGAAACATTTCCATTACTCTGAAAAGAAACAAGGCGGTTGCTTCTACATGTGCTTATACAGTAGGTATCTGCCTGAAGAACACAAGCACGCATGTCTGCTCTTGAGACTCAAGAGGGAGTATGGTAAGTTCCCTCTGTCCACCTTTGTCTGCTGGTGATTCACAGTTCCTGCAGCCATCACCAACCAAAACCTTATTTGATTCAAATAACCGCCATGTAGCGCAGTCATCTTCACCAGACCCCATCTCTCTGGCTGGCAGCTGAAATCTTCACTGCGAGACAGGTTTCTTCAGCACCTTCCCTTCCTGTTACTGGTTCCCGCCTGGCTCCAGTCCTTTCTCTGTTACAATAAATGCCTTGTTGGGTATTTAATCCCAAGCGCTGTCAGCAGGATCTCGTGTCCCGTTCTGAGCTGGGTGGAGGAGGAGGGTGGCTTCTGCTCTGCTAGTTTGAAGGTGGCCGCGTTTCGTCCTGTTAAACATACATTGTGTTTAAACGCTGTTAGCAGCTATTAGCGCTTCCAAAGGATTTATTTCAATGCAAACGGATGTGTTACCTGGGAAAACAGCGCGTAACTAACGGGAAGCCCCGCAGGCGGGTCGGTAGAACCCATTTGTGGCGGCCGCTGTCGAGCGCACGGGAAGAGAACGGGACGTGGGGCGCGCAGTGCGCATGCGCCGAGGCGCCGTGCTGTCCGCTGGGAATTGTAGTTCCCGTCAACACCAGCGATGGTGCGTGCTTTCCGTTGTCATGGAGCAGCGCGACAGGCCGTAAAGCGGACTGCGCTTCCGGCTGGCGCGGAGGGGAGGGCTGGGAGCCTCGTGTGAGGGAGCGTGGAGGCTGTGGGTGCCTGCCCGCCCGCCGGCCCCAGGCACCCGCCCGCCTCGCCCGCCCGGCGCCCACCGCCCCCAGGATGTTCAAGAAGTGAGTGGGTCTGCGGGTCTGCGGGAGGGGTGAGGGAAGGGGGGATCAGGATGGGCTTGTCAGCCCCCTCAGTACCAGGACTCGGCCTGGCCGGGCCTTGCTCGGGGGCTGGGACTGGAGCGGCCGGCCTCTCTCCCTGCCGGTTGTTGGGGCCTCCCTGGGGCACCGGGCGCGGCTTCGCCGCCAGCTTTGCCTCCGGGGGCGCTGGTCTGAGCCGCTTGGGCACTTGCTTGCGAAGAGACAAAACCCTAGACAGTGAGCTGAGTCATGAACTTGTGTGAGCTTCTAGGTGGTACAGAGCGCAGTTCTGCGCCTGTGGTGAAGGTTTCTTACAGATACGTGTGAACAGGGCCAGAGGTGTTTGTGTTACCAGCCATGTCTGCTGTAGGGGTTGAATGAAGTAATGCTTTGTGCTGAGGTGAATCTGTGAGACTAAAACCGTGTTTTGTGGATTCATATAAAGTGTACAAACAAAGACAGCCTACGGGTGGGGGCCCCCTGCCTTTCCCCAACCCACTGTTCCCAGGGGATAGTTTATGCCTCGTGAAATCCTAGGTTTGAAAGTTGGGCAAATGTGATACTGTTAATGTTTTTCAGCAAATTTATAAATGCTTCTGAAGAGTCTTGCTGAGATATGGCATCTTTTGGGCAGTAAACTGTGCATTTCTGAAACTTTTTCACTCACTTGACAGATTTGATGAAAAGGAGAATGTATCAAACTGTATCCAGCTGAAGACTTCAGTTATTAAAGGAATTAAGAATCAACTGATAGACCAGTTTCCTGTTATTGAACCATGGCTAAACCAGATCATGCCAAAGAAAGACCCAGTCAAAATAGTAAGATGGTAAGTTTCTTTTCTCTTAAACGTTTCTGCCAAGGTGCTGGGGTTTCTTCCTTTATATGTTTGCTTTGTATAGTCAATGAACCTGGTGTTCTTGAAAAACAGTTGTTGTTTCTTAACAGATAATGATGTATGTTGTGTCCAAACCAGACAGCTTCTATGTGCTCATCACACTTTTGAAGGTACTATTGTTTGATGAAGACAAAAACGCTGCCTAGTAGTGAATGTGTAACCTATTTAAGGACTCTCCACATAATCAGCCTGTTGTTGAATAAAGCATTCAGCTTTATGGATATGGAGGCTTGAACTTGTTTGGATAGTTTCCAGTACTGTGTGTGTTGGGTATCTTTCTTACTATCTTTGGGCTTCCATATATTATCTGAAGTATTTTTTTTCATTTTTTATTTTATAGAGGTAGCATAGCTTTGGTGATTCTTTCTCTTTGTCCTCTATCGCATTTAAAACAAAGCGAAGAGCTGAATATTTGTCTGTAGATTTCTTCTTCCTTTATTAAGGGGCAGGCAGTGTGCAGGGGCCAGTGCTGAAGAACAAACCATTACAAAGTTTAAAATTTTCTTACTAATTGACTGTCTCGGTCTTCAGATGCCAAGAGAGAGCAGACTTTGTGAAGTGAAATCTTTCATTTAAACTCTGAAAGGGTGAGGCACCTATTGGAATAATTTTTGTCCTTAACCTTACAGCCATGAACATATAGAAATCCTCACTGTGAACGGGGAGCTGCTGTTCTTCAGACAGAGAGAAGGGATTTTCTACCCAACACTAAGGTTGCTTCACAAATGTAAGTTTCCTGAGGGTAGGAGGGGTGGGGAGACGACCAAGAGCGTGATCTTCTGTAGAACCCAATTAAAAAGAACTTACTGCTTACATATTTTATATATGTATCTAGAATAGATCTTAAAGATACAATATGCTTTCTCAAGTGTAATGTATTGATTTGCTATTTCAGGTGCCTGCATGGATTGTTTCCCTCATATTTGATGTAATGCTGGATGTTAAACAATCTGAAATTTGATATCTAAGAATTAAATTGTGCAACGCTCTGAAAAAAAAACAAACAAAAAACAACTTGAGAGAGGCTTCCCTAGGACAGAGATCTGAATTTCCTTTTGTTAGGTCCTGTCCTTGTTCTTTCAAGTCTTCCTTTTCACTTCCTTCTTACTAGAGTACAATTCTTTACTCATGAGTTCAATAATGTAATATATACTTGTCTCCTTTAAGGATTTCTGGTTGCGTGATTTTTACTTTTTACAATTTACTCTTGCATTATTTTTCTTGCTGTCCTCATTGTTCTGCTTTATTCTGTTACTCTGGTTTTGACTAGGGTAGGTATCCTTAGAAATGTTGTTCAGTCAAATCTCAGTGTTTGAAATACTTGATGAAGGTGTGTGCACTTGAAGGCTGGCTTGGAGAGCCAACAACTTTCATGAATTTTATCCATCTTTGCCTTTTTTTGTCCTGTTAATGTTGAACTGTTTCATGGAAGGGCATGGTTGTGTAATTTGAGGGGTTTAAGAGCCCTTAGTTTTAAGACCTCTTAATATGTGGGCTCTTGTGTGGTTGTTTTCACTGGGGGAACTTGTTCAAATTGTTACTCAGTATATGAATACTCAGGAGGCATGGGCTCAGTGTTTGAATCCCCTTTTGTTCTTGGATAGAAGGTGTGGTCTGCGCGAGCATTACTTGTGTCCTTTTGGGGCAGCACAGACAGACAGGACCTTCAGTAATTGCTTCGCAAACTTCTTGCCCTCTTAGCACATTACATATCTAATTGCCACATCTAAACTGCCTTGATAATGAATTATTCATGTTATCATTTTACCATGTTAATTGTGATGCTATATCTTTCCCCTCCTAGACCCATTTATTCTACCACATCAGCAGGTTGATAAAGGTGCCATTAAGTTTGTACTAAGTGGAGCTAATATAATGTGCCCTGGCCTGACGTCTCCGGGAGCAAAACTTTACCCTGCTGCCATTGATACTGTTGTTGTATCCTTCTTTAACTATGAATTACTGCTTGCTGTGAGATGAGTTAAATTTATATTCTTCTGTTCTCAGCTGCTCATAATCTGAACTGCTGTTTATTTTAATGGTGTTTTGTGGAATAACTAGTAATCTGAAGAGAGCTGCAGAGGTTCAGATATTACTTGGCAAGGTTAACATTGACCTTAATTTTTTTTTTTTTACTTACTGTGATGTTCCAAACCAAATATGTAGTCCTATTGTGCTGTTGGGTGGAATGCTGCTCCACTAATCTACTAATTGATAAGTGGAGCTCCTTTGAGTTTAGGCAGAATTGTAAAAACAGATGAGCTACAGTTTAACTTGTCCACTGCCTTCTTAATCTTGTATCTCCTTCAGTTACAGAATTTGTTCCTGTTCCTAGGGAATTTGGAAAGATGTCTAGGATCAGCTTTGCTATAGTCAGGGCTTACTCTTAGGTGATTGATGAAATTAGCATATGTAAAAAGAGGAAAATGTGCTAATTCACTCCTGTTCATTGTATTACAGAGAAAGGAACCCTGAGTGCATACAGCATTAAAACCACCAAGCTGTGCTGCTTTTGTTGTTAGATGCTATTGGAAGATATCAGTAGTTAGCATCAGTGTTGCTAAGCTTTGAAAAGATGCATCTGATTTCAGTACTTCTGCTCTTTTTAGGTTTGTGTCTCAGTTCCTCTGGAACCTAAATTGATCCCACAGTTTTGTTTCAGAAAGGATGAGGCCATCAGTGTTACGAACAAAGGAGTGTAGTGTGGGAGATCTTTTTCTGTAACTGCTGTTCGAAGTTCCTAAATACATGCTTTGTTCTACACACTGTGATTCAATTGTTAAATGCAGTGCATTGTTTTTCTTACCTTTAAGAGCTGGAGCTCTAGAATTACTAAAAGTTCAACACTGGGTTTTGAAACTTTTGGGAATTTGTTTCCTCATACTGCTTTTCTGAAACAGTTTTAAAACCAGTCTGTTTTCCTTAGCGGTAATTTGTAGGCAATAATGGCAGAAGGAAAACAACATGCATTATGTGTGGGAGTAATGAAGATGTCAGCTGAGGACATGTAAGTGTGTTAAAAATTGAAATACAACTTGCCCCATGTCATTATTCTTATGCTACTTTGAAATATAAGCACTACTGTCGAGGCTACTGCATTGCTGTTGCAGCATATGTTGTTCAAGTACAGAATTTGTTCAGATTGCATTGTGTTGATTAATAGGGAAAGAGCAGGAGGAAGGGAATAGCTTCCCTGCTTATTTGTTTACTGACTGAAATCAAAATAGTTCTTTTCACGTAAATACGGATTTTTAAGATGCACAACATTTGTACTGCCAATGAATGTCAGTATTTCTTGCTCTCTAATCATACTTTATCAAAGGTCTTGCTGAACAAAGAAATACTTGTATGGAGTACTTACTGCCTGGGCTGGGCAAGAGATGTAATTTGGATTTGAGGGGGTTGAAAGTAATTTTTTGTCTGCAGGGACAGCAGAGACTAAAGTTCTGCTGGCACTTGGTTGACAGTTGGGCTTTTCTCTGTGACCTTCTCTTTTTCTTTACCTTGAGCTCACATGCAGGATTCCTGCTTGATGTCGTTGCCAGCTTAGATGAGCTACTTGTGAAATGCAGAAGCCTGTTCAGGGAATAAACATCAACTGAAAATTATTTGAGAAGGAAAAGAGACAGAAAATAGTAATGGATGTTAATTGTTTGTAGCATTCGGATAGAGCTAAATCAGAAGTAGCTGAACCACTTTAAGTTCTGTAATAACCTCACAGCAGGTTGTAAGCTGCA